TAAGTCACTTCAGTCGTGTCCTACTCTTTGAGATGCTATGGCCTGTAACCCACCAGGCTCCTCTGTTCATGGGATTCTCCAGGCAAGAATACTGGAGTGGGTTGCCATTTCCTTCTCCAGGGGATATTCCCAACCCAGGGATCAAACCCTTGTCTCCAGCATCCCCTGCATTGGCAGCGGGTTCTTTACCACTAGCGCCACCTGGGAAGCCCATCTGTATATATACATACAAATGTATGGAGAGAGATTGAACAAATATGGCCAAACATTAAGTTGTCTAGCAAAATGACTTTCAAACTCCTCACAGTTCTGCTTTACCTCCTTAGCATGTTTTTCTCATTTTCCTTGTCTTTCGTATGGTGTGTACAACTATTAATAATGAGCATTTGTTGAGTATGTACTGTATATCCTGTGCCAGTGTCAGACACTTTATATACATCTTAATAATCCTTACAATCGTCTCTCATGATTGATGTTTTTATATTCATCTCACAGAGAAAAGACTCAGAGCAGTCAGGGAATTAATTGGTCTTAGAGCAAATTTAGTCCACACCACATCTATCTGACTCCAAACTCATGGTCCTTCTATTATATCTTGAACTGCATACAGTGTTCCAGAAACAGTCTGGAAGGTACATTCCTGCACGCGCGCACACGCACACCCCTGCACCTACAGAATTTTACATATATATTAGTCTAGAAATTGGAAGGCCTTTGGGTGAATCACTTTTCTCCAAGCCTTGATTTCTTGATCTATAAGAGAAGTTTAAAATTTCCAAAATCTGGACTTCCCTGGTGGCACAGTGGATGAGAATCTGCCTGCCAGTGAAGGGAAGATTCCAGATATCAAGGACGAGCTAAGCCCATGAGCCACAACTACTGAAGTCCACACAGGGACTGAGTCTGTGCTCTGAAACAAGAGAAGCTACAGCAATGAGAAGCCTACCTCCCACAACTAGAGTAGCCCCCATTTCTCTTCACAACTAGAGAAAGCCTGAGCGAAGCAGTGAAGACTCAGCACAGCCAAAAATAAATTATTTTAAAAAATAAAATTTCCAAAATCCTTTTTATCTTTCTGAATGACATTTGATGATTTTGGTTTTCCTGAGGCCTTCTTGAATATTCCCTGTAAAGCAAAACACAAGGAAACTTTCCTCCCACTTAGGAAATTGAACAGGTCCATTGAAAAGAGTGTAACCACTGAGTGGAAGGCGGGTGCTTGCACCCCTCCATCGCCCTTCACGGGTGCCCCACTGTACATTAAATAGTGGCAATGATGCAGCTCCTGCACTTGACTTCAGACAGTAACTGCTATGGCTGTCTATGTTACTTGTAAACAGTTTGTCTGCACAGCCTGATAATCAACAACTCAGTTCTAAAACAGGACCCAGAAAGCACTATGGCCTCTCCTAGAAGGCCTAGGGGAACGTGGGGTGTCAGAGTTAATGATGGCAACCCTAGAGGATCCATTCTTTGGAGGGAATAGCATGCAGATCCTGGGCAACTTGTGCCTCATAGGCATTCAGTAAATATTTGAGAAGTAGAAAATTCTCTGCTAGGGAAATAAGAGAGAAATAAGATATTTTATATGCAGATCCTAGTTTCTATTAAAAGTTACCCTGGGCGGACTTCTTTGGTGGAATAGTGGCTAAGACTCTGCCCTCCCAATGCAGGGGGCCTTGGTTTGATCCCTGGTCAAGAAACCAGATCCCACATGCCACAACTAAGTGTTCAAAGGCCACAACTAAGACCCAGCACAGCTAAATAAATTGTGAGCTGTGCTCAGTCATGTCCAACTCTTTGTGACTGCTTTACTGTAGCCCACCAGACTCCTCTGTCCATGGGATTCTCCAGGCAACAATACTGGAGTGAGTTGCCATTTCCTACTCCAAGGGATTTTCCCAACAGGAAAACCAGGAAAATGGCAGGGTTCTTAACCCATGTCTCTTGCATCTCTTGCATTGGCAGGTGGATTATTTACCACTGCACCACCTGGGAAGCCAATTAAAACAAATAAATAAATAGAAATAAATATATTTTTTGAAAAAGTTACCCGGGGCCATTTGTCTTTTTGCATCCATAAAAGCACGATAGCTTACCAGTGGCCTTAGGGGAGGGAGCCATCTTAAAAAACTCAGCCAGGGTTCTTGATCCTGCCACATCTGCTCGAACTGACAGTCTGATCAAGAAACTGGGCCTCAATATGTGAGGGAAAGTCAGTGCAAGAAAACTATAGGTCTCACTTATTTGAACTAAGTAAGCCTCCATGAAAGGGTCATCCAAGGCATCTATTTGACCACCAAAACAATGCCAGTTCTTTGGACATAATATTTTTAGGAAGACTTCAACTATGCATGTTTTATGACCAACGTAGACAAAATATTAAAAAGCAGAGACATCGCTTTACTGACAAAAGTCTGTACAATCAAAGCTATGGTTTTCCCAGTAGTCATGTACAGATGTGAGAGTTGGACCATAAAGAAGACTGAGCCCCAAAGAACTGATGTTTTCGAATTGTGGTGCTGGAGAAGACTCTTGAGAGTCCCTTCAGCTGCAAGGAGCTCAAACCAGTCAATCCTAAAAGAAATCAACCCTGAATACTCATTGGAAAGACTGATGCTGAAACTGAAGCTCCAATACTTTGGCCACTTGATGCGAAGAGCCAACTCATTGGAAAAGACCCTGATGCTGGGAAAGGATGAGGGCAGGAGGAGACGGGGACAACAGCAGATGAGATGGTTGCTTGGCATCACTGACTCAATGGACATGAGTTTGGGCGATGGGGAAGAACAGAGAAGCCTGCCGGGCTGCAGTACATGGGGTCACAGAGAGTCAGACACAACTTAGTGACTGAACAACAAGTCTTTCTCTGGCTTCCCAGGTGACTCAGTGGTAAAGAATTTGCCTGCCAAGCAGGAGACTCAAGCTTGATCGCTGGGTTTGGAAGATCCCCTGGAGAAGGAAATGGCAACCCACTCCAGTATTCTTGCCTGGGAAATCCCATGGACAGAGGAGCCTGGCGGGCTATCGTCCATGAGTTGCAAAGAGTTGGACATGACTGAACGACTAAGCAGCAGCAGCAAGGTCTTTCTCAATGAAAGTGAACCCTTCAGTGCCCAGGGAACCCAAGGCTGGCCCCTGGAGGTTAAATTGCCCCTTCTTGCTCACCTGTCAGGCAGCAGACACATGTTCAGCAGCCCCCATGAGCACTGCCAAGCCTGGAGGTTGTAAGGAGAGCCCAGGCACTTTGCACGTAGACTTCAGGAGTTTGAGCTAAAAAGCACAGAAGTACCTGAGAACTCTGCAGGGATTCCAAGGACCTGAGGTTCGGAGAAGACTAGAAGTGCATGCACCCTGATCCTGAGGCTCCTTGCCTTGGTAAAGCCATTTGTGATTCACGGAGTGGCCTGGCCCTGCACTGCTGTGTTAATTCTGGGTGTGGTAGAAATAGAACTTGGTGATCTGGCAAAGCACGCCGCCCACCACTGTGTTCCTTTCCTTTGAGGACATCAACCAAATCTGAGCCTCTGATTCCCTCTAGTGGCTCAAATTGGCAACTTTCCTAGCTGATTCTTTACATTTATTTATTCAATATATAGTGAGTGCCTACTGTATGCACTGAATTGGTGCTGGGTTCTCTAGCTTTGCCAGGGGTGCTTCATCTGAACACTGTCCTGTCCAGTGGAAAGTGATCAGAGATGTAAACCAGAGCTCCTCCATGGAAACTTAGCTTATAGTACAGGGCAAACCGGCTCTGCTTTATGGGAACTGAAAGAGGATGGGTTTTATATGGGTTAGTTCTGCCACTAAATGAGTTGTAGGACCTTGGGCCAACTCCTTTATCCTCAGACCTCAGTTTGATCATTGGTTAAATCAGTGCATGGGTTAGATTCAAATCCATCCAATACGTATTTATTGAGCACCTGCAGTATGTGAGACCCTGACTAAGTGCTCTAGGCATGCAGTGGTAATGGAACTTAATCTCAAGGTGCTTAAGAGGCAAATGGGAGAACCAGACCCTCAGGAAGCCACATAAAATCAAGGGTATGAGTAGTTTAGCATGGCTGTCAGGGTGCGCTTTGCAGGGAGACAGATCTGGGTGGAGCCCTGCGCTGACACTTCCTAGCTGTGTGATAGTGGGCGATTTAATGGGATTCCTGGTGATCTAGTGGTTTGGACTCCACACTTGCACTGCTGGGGGCCTTGGTTCCATTCCTGGTCAGGGAACTGAGATCTCACAAGCTATATAGCCAAAAAACATTACAAAATTAAGCTGCTGACACGATATCATTTCTGGAAAAAGATGAAAGTTAAAGAAAGTAGAACTGAATTCCTATTGGCCAAAGGAATATTGGACAGATGAAGGGACAGGATCCAAATGTGGTAACTTGGAATTTTGCTTTGAGTAGAAAGTGCTGCTTCCTGTTTTGCAGCCATGTGATATGAAACTATGGAGAATGAAGATGGAAGCTGGGGGAGTAGGAGACTGTGTGTCCCTTAAGGGAGCAGGTGCTGCCACAAGAGCCCACTTGTTCCTGGAGGCACGGCTGCACTTACTGAGAGTTCTGTGAGGGCAGCCGGACTTCAAGATGGCTCTGAGGAGTGAACCGTATCCGGAGCCTGTGCTGGGAGGAGGCTAACCCTGTCCTCCTTGGTAGTTTCCGTCCTTTCAGAAGCCTTTGCTAGTAGGAGAGAGAAAGGTCAAAAAACAAACTTGTTTTTGACCTGAGTGATTTCATTGTTTCTAAAAACCCTGGAGGGTAAGAAAGGTGGTCATTAGCAGGAGTGTAATTTGGGGGGGAGGTATGGAAGATATGATGAATTCAGTTAATGGAGGAGCCAGTGTGAGACCAGGGACTACCAGTACTTCTAGACCAGGGTTCTTCAACACCTTGACATGCCTCTTGCCCACAGAAACATCCAGTATTTGTTGTAGTATTTGTTTCCTGCACACTGTCATCCCATTTCTGCACAACTCATTGGAGGTTTTCCTCTTCCAGTTTCCTACTACGTTGGAACCTTGGGGACCCACACTGAGATCAAGAAAGTGGCAGAGGAGAAGGTCACTCTGCCCTGTCACCATCAACTGGGGCTCCCAGAAAAAGACACCCTGGATATCGAATGGCTGCTCACAGATCACGAAGGGAACCAGAAAGTGGTGAGTGTGTGTCTGACTGGAGTCTCGCCTCGTTTTCCCTTGTCCTCGCACGCCTTGCCTTATTCCTGCATCTTTCTCACTGGGTAAGAAACTTCTAGAATTGCTTTTTCATCTGATTTAGATTTGGGAAGACTCTAGATACAATACTACAACAAGAAAGGGTACTGGGTTGTGAGGATAAGAGATTCTGTTTGGGGGAAAGAAAGAACTACAAGAATCTATCATTTTACCAAGGAGGGAATCTACACTAGTGGTATCTTTCCTATGAGAGGGACGAGGATGCAGTAGTTGATCACCTAGTCTAGTGGGCCAGAACCACACCTGGAAGACTCTTCAGAGTCCGTTGGACAGCAAGGAGATCCAACCAGTCCACCCTAAAGGAAATCAGTCCTAAATATTCATTGGAAGGACTGATGCTGAAGCTGAAACTCCAATACTTTGGCCACCTGATGCGAAGAACTGACTCATTTGAAAAGACCCTGATGCTGGGAAAGAGTGAAAGCAGGAGAAGGGGATGACAGAGGATAAGATGGTTGGATGGCATCACTGACTCAATGGATATGAGTTTGAATAAGCTCTGGGAGCTGGTGATGGACAGGGAGGCCTGGCGTGCTGCAGTCCATTCGGCTGCAAAGAGTCGGACACGACTGAGCGACTGAACAGAACTGGCGGTATAAACAGATTTGTCACACTCTGCTCCTGATGACCTCCTGGCATGACGTTCATTAGAGAATGAGAACTAGGTAACCTACTGTTAACGACCTTTCTGCCTTGGCTGCACTCAGCCACTGTACCTTGGCTCAACCTAGGTTTTCTGGAGTAACTAATCTTCAGTAGCCTTTGTGCGTGTTTGTGCGTGCTCAGTTGTACCTAACTCTTTGTGACCTCACTGGACTGAAGCCCACCAGAATCCTCTGTCCGTGAAGTGGGTTGCCATTTCCTACTCCAGGGGATCTTCCCAATCCAGAGATTGAATTAACAGCCTTTACCCATTGACTTTTTTTTTCCCCAACATCATAGGCTGGCTTTTATTTTGTTGTATTTTTTTTACACAAATGTTTTATTTATTTATAGTTTTTTAAACTTTTATATTATATTGGAGTACAGTTGATTAACAATAATGTGTTAGATTCAGGTGTACAATGAAGTGATTCAGTTATCCATACACATGTATCTATTCTTTTTCAAATTCTTTTCCCAGTTAGGCTGTTTTAGACTATCGAGCAGAGTTCCCTGTGCTATACAGTAGGTCCTTGTTGGTTAACTATTTTAAACATAACAGGGTGTACATGCCCATCCCAAACCCCCTAACTATTCCTCTCTCCACCCTTCCCCCCAATGACTTATTTTTAAAACTCTTTGTTGAAAGTTTTGTGGTTAAAAAAACAAACTACATCCTACAGAAGCTGATTTTAGACTTTCCTTCTTTTTCAGAACTTCACTTCTTTCCCTACTAAAAAGGATAAAGTTGTCCTTTCCTCTCTGATGTCTATGCTACTAATTTCATAAAGTGGTTTATGCAGAGGGAAGCTAAGGTTTTCACTGAAAATAAAATTCAAGATCACAGTTGAAATTGAATTTGCTTACAGAGCTGCCTACATCACCTTGTTATTTTGATACTGCTTGTCATTCTCTTCTCCTAGCGCACCATCCCAAGACTCAGTCTGTTCTCTCCCGAGCAAGGTCACCTTAACCTGAGCATGTTTATTCCAAGAGTTTCATAATCAATCCTAGACCTGATACTCTCAGTTCTGAATGAAGTAAATAAGTGCCCATGTTCCTCTAATAAAAATCCAAGAATGACATTATTGTCTAACTTTCACCCAAGTGGTTTCATTTAAACTAAAGAAAAAAAAAGTGACTTTGTTTTATAGCCAGGTGAATATAAGGATTGATTTAAAAAGGCCACTGAGGGACTTGCCTGGTGGTCCAATGGTTAAGACTCCCCCTTCCAATGCAGGGGCTCCAGGTTCAATCCCTGGTCCAGGAACTAAGATGCCATGGGGTGCAGCCAAAAACTAAGTAAAATAAAGAAGGTCACTGATACAGCTTCTGTCCTCACCCTAATAAGCAGGCACCGTTCCCTACTTATCTTCAGCGAATGCTCTAAAGAAAGAATTGCCATTTATTCACTCATTCAGATGGCATGATTTTTTTTTTTTTCCAAACCATGTGGCATGAGGGATTTTAGTTTCTCAACCAAGGGTTGAACCCATGCCTCCTGCACTGGGAGCCTGAAATCTTAACCACTGAACCACCACCGAAGTCCAGGTGGCATGAATTTATTTTGAACTTACTGTATGCCATGGTAGGCACTGGGGTATAGCAGTGAAGAAAAAATCAGAATCTCGGCCTTCTAGGAGCTCAGAGTAAAACGACATTTAATAATTTTTTTAAAAAATTTAAGTACAGAACAATAAATACCAGCTGCAGGCCAGGCACAAATCTGTTTAGCACATATTGTCTCATTTCACTTACTGCTCATAACCGGGATTATTGGTACCATTTTACAGATAAGGAACTCAGGCATGTACACACACAAAGTGAGAAAATTGCTTAAAGTCACCCATTTTTGAAATTGGACACTCTGATATTGGTACCTAGACTATTAACCACTAGCTGTGTTATCTTCATAAATAATTAGAAATTAGAAAGTTAGTGCTGCTATATAGGAAATACGGAAAATATGGGGAGAAAAATTATTCCAGCAGATTAATTATGCAAAGACCCTGATGCTGGAAAAAGCTTGGTGCTATTGCAAGTTCTAAAAGATTAAAAATCAATTTAGTTGGGACTTCCCTGTTGGTCCAGTGGCTAAGACTCTGCCCTCCCAAGGCAGGGGTCCTGGGTTCCATTCCTGGTCAGGGAACTAGATCCCACTTGCTGCAACTAAAGATCCCCAGTGCCACAACTGAAGAAATGCTGCATGCTGAAGCTAAGAACCTGAAGCAGCCAAGCAAATAAATCAGTATTTTATAAAATCGACTTAGTTACATTTAATAAATAATGGATTTCCAGTATACACACACACTCTCTCATGAAGGAGCTACTTGAAGAGATACGTATCAAGACTGAGATACGCAGAATGTTCTAGATGAAGCAGAGGAGGAGCCACTGGCTGAGCGTCCCTGGGGAGAGGTCGTCCCTGGGGAGAGGTCGAGGTGCGCTCCTGGTAAGAAGGCACAGTTGATTTGCATGTTTATAGGAGGCACTGCCCTCAGGAAATCTCAAGAGCAAAGACACAGGCGGGCCCATTCTGGGAACTTCTAAGCGGCTGATGCAGTTAGAGTGCAAGTTTCAGCTTGTGGGGTTGCAGGACCAGAAACTGAAAGGTCTTGTCTACCATACCAGGGAGCTGAGAATTTTTCCTATAATGTCATGGTGTTCTTGAAGGATTTTCAGAGTGAAAAGGGCATCTTTGCATCTTAGAGCAAGCACTCTGGCACTCTGTGAGGCACACTCAAGTAGAAGTATCAAGATTAGTTGAATAGTTTCCAGCTACACAATAAGGGCTTAAAGTACAGTCGTGGGTGGCTGGGATGCCAAACAATGGGTGAAGCTTCCTGAGCTGGTTAATTACCAGGGTATTAGGAATGAGAGTGAGGGGAACTGAGAAAGAAAATACAGGAAGGGTTGGAACAGATGTGTTGCTTGTTTTTCTTTTCTTCCCATCATGCCTCTCAGCTTATGGGATCTTAGTTCCCCAATGAGGGATCAAACCCGTACCCCCTGCAGTGGAAGCTCAAAGTCCTAACCACTGAACTGCCACTGAAGACCTGGATGAGGTGCTTAAAAATAGGCTAGCCAATGACCTCGATCCCAAGGTCAGCTTTGCATTTTCATCTGAGCAGAAACGTTGCATCCCTCTTGTCTAGGACTCTCAGATATGCAGGAAACATTTAGGGGCGGGTAGGCAGCCTCAGGAATATTTGAATTTCAGCCTAGACAGTAGGGTCACTAGGATCCTGGAGCATTCCTCCTGGTTCTAGGATGGAAACTTGGTTGAATTTCCAAAGTAAGAGTGCTCAGGAGAGTCAGGAACTTACAACACACACTTTTCCCCTGTATTTTTTCGATGGAAAAATTAGGACAGAGATGGTCAATTTCCCATGCCAACCATCTTGGCCACTCTTTCACCCTTTCCCCTTTCTCTTTGGATTTGAGCAAGAAAAATCTTAATCTAAAATACAGACAGAGGGACTTACATCCATCTCCTTCAGGGCAGTTTCACAACTGCTACGTTGGACTTGGAGCAGCAGAGCAACTGCCAGAAGGTTGAGCTGATCCATCTGTTCCATCTGAGTCCTAACAAATTGTCCTGCCTTGTCTCCCTAAAAACACATCCGGAGCAGGACACCAGGAATGTCATGAGACACAGTCCCACAACAGCTGCAATTCATATATTTAATCTGTTTGCAGAAGGGTTAGATTTATATTCACTGTCCCCCCATACACTCCTATTGACCCTTGGCTTAGTCCCAGCACCATGTTCCTTATAATTAAAAACAAAATAAAACAGAGAGGCACACAAGCATCTAATATTCACTGTATGTCTGAAAAAAGAAAGCCAAATTGCAAGGCTGTAGCTGAACCCCAACCCTGTCAAAAGTGTTTTGAAATTCTCATATTAAATAAGGGTCATTTAATTATATTAAGATTATTTTGAAGTTGTATACACTCTGCTTTCCAAAGATGTTAAATATGTACCTGTAGTTATCTCTTTTTTCTTCATTTACTATTAGGACAGGAACTTCCCCAGTAGTCCAGTGGTTAAGAATCAATGCTCCCACTGCAGGGGGCATGGGTTCAAGCCCCGGTGTGGAAGATCCCATATGCTGCAGGGTGTGGTCAAATATATATTTGTGCTCAGTCACTTCAGTCATGTCTGACTCTTTGTGACCCTATGGACTATAGCCCGCCAGGCTCCTCAGTCCATGAGATTCTCCAGGCAAGAACACTGAATTGGGTTGCCATACTGTCCTCCAGGGGATCTTCCTGAC